TAGGGTAGCTGTTTTCTTGAAACTACTGAGGTCACTAGCACAGTCTAGCCAAAACAAAACCTTATAGCACAATCCCTAGTCTAGATAAAATCTTCAACCAACTGATCAGTTTCCTGAAATATGATACCCTATTCTAGACCCAAACGCTCTGATTTATATACCCTATCCTAGAGTAAACTGCTTGAAAACCATACCCTTCACAGCGGCACATACCTATACAGCCCATATATGACAGTACCCCCACGGGAAGCAAATAGCCGGAAGTAAGGAAAAACCAGTTTTTACAGTACTGTGAACATTTTAATCGCATTTAACTGTAGAAATGTCAGGTTAAAATGGAACGATGCTTCTTGAATATAAATCAGAACGTAACGTAACAAAACATAGCCTAAATAGAGCATGCACTTATTTGCATTACGCGGCTTGCAGACCAATGTACCCCCATTATGGTCATTATGGGGATCTTGCTCATATAAACCGACATATACTCTAGGTATATGGTGTGCAGCTTCGGGTGTAAATGTTTCAGCAACACCTCCGACAGGATTTCAAGAACAGATTATTCTAGGCATTTTTTCCGAAGTATAAGGCTGGAGAATGAGGAGGGGGCTAAGCCACTTCCTACCCTCCTGTCTTCTTGACCGGTTACTGCACAGTATGAAGTTCCACAAAATGGTGTAATCTCTACTTTCTCAGATGCCAAAATGTATCTCCCACGACAAGTACAGCTAACTAAATTTGTATCACAATTTGCAACAAAGCATTTAACTCTATTTAGCACTGTCTACCGAATACTACTGTCTACGTCTTTTTAAAAAATACAACATTTTCTGGTCAAAGGGTAGTCTGCTACACAGCCGTTTTTAGTGTCGTCACGCAACGCTCCTCCCCACTAACGGCTGCTGAAAACCGAACTACATTCCTTTCCCGTGGTTAGCCAATTGTAATTCAGCTCCCATTTTCTGGAAGGTGTTCGCGCCACGTTTGTGGTACTGTGTGACTCCTCCAATCACAGCTTTGCTTTTATCGGTACCCCATGCGTGAATGACAGAATAATCAAAATCGTCGCGTGAAATCAAGCAATTAACTACAGTAGTATTGTCGTAGTCGAGTTATATTTAAATTTTTAGGAGATAAGCAGCAGCAGCAAGCAAGTCCAGCAAAACATGGATGTGCTCATGAAGTTGCCAGGTATAGTTTCGGGAAATCGCTCAGTTTGAACTGTTTCCTTACCTGAGAAAAAAAGTAGAGCTGTGTTGTTTTCTGTTGACTCGCCAAGTTTATAGCCAAAAGGGCATGTTGTGTCGTTCTTCGCATGAAGTGCTGACAAAAATGGCGGCTCGGTTGCTCGAGGTAAGAGGTCGTCTTTCTGTATCATTCTTTTTCCTGTTTACTTGAAATGTAGAATTTCTGCAAACATTTCCTTTTAAATTTGTTTGTCATAAATAAACTTCGATTTTTGAGCCAAAATTTTCTTCTTAGAAAACGCTGAGTTCACGAAACGGCTTCTTCTACGCGAATACACGGGAGTTGTAAACAATCCATCGAGCACAAAACTCCTGCTACAGTAAATTGAAAAACGCCGTATTGAATCCTTCCAAGTCTTTTCTTGCCTTAAAAAAAGTCAGCCCTAGGATTTTGTCGACTTTTAAAAGATCGTTCTCTAAAAAAAACGGGAAAAACACCGAGCTCACACATTATCCACTCGCTAGGAGGTGAATATTGTTGAATAGTCCGAGATAGCGAACCAATCAGATTGCTTAAATCACCAAGATCACTGAGTGTGTATATACTAATTAACAATTATTCTTTGAAATCGAGGTGAATAGTGGCAAAATATTTACCGAGCCGCGAAAGCGGCGAGGTAACTATTCCCAAAGCCACTATTCACCGAGATTGAGAAGAATAATTGTTTTAGTATATACACACGAAGTGATCTCAACAAAATCAGAAAGGAAACCATTCAAAAGTAGGATTTGATTGACAGATCAAATCACGCGTAAGTTTAAAAATAGATCTTTGCAGAATTTTCAAACATGGCAATTCACAAGTTTACTCATTTCGCAAACAACAGCGTAATGGCTTCAATGGAATCGCTAAAAGTTTGAACTGTTTCCTTACCTGAGAAAAAAAGTAGAGCTGTGTTGTTTTCTGTTGACTCGCCAAGTTTATAGCCAAAAGGGCATGTTGTGTCGTTCTTCGCATGAAGTGCTGACAAAAATGGCGGCTCGGTTGCTCGAGGTAAGAGGTCGTCTTCCTGTATCATTCTTTTTCCTGTTTACTTGAAATGTAGAATTTCTGCAAACATTTCCTTTTAAATTTGTTTGTCATAAATAAACTTCGATTTTTGAGCCAAAATTTTCTTCTTAGAAAACGCTGAGTTCACGAAACGGCTTCTTCTACGCGAATACACGGGAGTTGTAAACAATCCATCGAGCACAAAACTCCTGCTACAGTAAATTGAAAAACGCCGTATTGAATCCTTCCAAGTCTTTTCTTGCCTTAAAAAAAGTCAGCCCTAGGATTTTGTCGACTTTTAAAAGATCGTTCTCTAAAAAAAACGGGAAAAACACCGAGCTCACACATTATCCACTCGCTAGGAGGTGAATATTGTTGAATAGTCCGAGATAGCGAACCAATCAGATTGCTTAAATCACCAAGATCACTGAGTGTGTATATACTAAGTATCTATATCGTTGTGCAAGCCTTGTAACTGAAAAAAAAAACTTGTAATGTTTCTAAACTGGATCTCTTCTTTCATTGTTTCAACCTACAGGAAGAGTTAATGGATCTTTTTACTCGTTATTATTGAGATGGCTACTGCAGCAGTGACACCCCTGGCTAGTTCTGTTGAGAAGACAAATGGAGTCAAGCTCAACAGACTCCTCATCGATGGTGGAACTACAGTTCTTAGAAAGGCTTTTGATCGTTATCACCCTCCCGCAGGACTGGCTACTGATCTCAATACCTACAAACCCCTGTTAATGAACCTATTTAGAAAAAAAGTTTTGCGTAAACCTCAGTGGGAAAAACTCTTTCCACCCACCGGAGCCTCGCCAGATTCAAGCAAATTTGATATAACTCTTCTTTTTGTTCTTTTGACCAACATTTGTGGACTAACCCCTCCTGGCTTAGATTGGTACACTAACCCTGCGCCAAGCGACACCTCTTTTGAAGCTAACCTTGCACGCGTTAGGTTCTATCGCAATGAATTGTATGGTCATGTGACAACCACTGGTGTAGACTCCCTAAGCTTTGCTTCTCTTTGGGCTGAAATTAGCCGTGTTCTTGTGAGTCTTGGCCTTGCTAAGGCTGAGGTAGATCGTCTTAAGTCTGAGAAATGTTCAGAGCAGCATTATATTGACGTGTTGATTGAGTGGGCTGAAAGTGAAGAGGCAATCAAGTCCGATTTAAAGAAAATACATCAGAGCGAAAACAGGTTGCAACAAGCGGTGGACGACGTGCGTCAGACCCAGGTCAAGACTCATAAGACAATGGAGGACATGTACCAGAATCAGACTAATACTCAACAAAGCATTGAAGGAGTTTGTAAGACTGTGGCTGAAGTTCTTCGGACTCAGATAGAAAATCAACAAACTCTAGAAGAAGTCCGTCAGACCCAAACAAAAAATGAGCAGGAATTGAAAAAAGTTGCAGCAGGTTTTCAAGAATTAAATACTAAGGTGGATAGTATTAAAGAAGAAGGGGGCAAGGACAGGAATGATGAAGTGCTTCAAAACCTTGCCAAGTCCGAATTCAGAGGAGACATTGAGTATTACGTGGAACGATTTCAAACAGGCACCCGTGAGTGGGTCTTCGACAGAGTTCAAAAATGGCTGGATGACAGAGGCTCTCAAAACCGAGTGATGGTGATCAGTGGAAATGCCGGGATGGGAAAATCCGTTATTGCCGCTGTGATCTGCAAGAGAATGCAAGAGGCTGGCAGACTGACAGGAAGCCATTTTTGTAAGTACAATAATGTACGTTATTGCAAGCCGCAGTTGATGCTTCATTCTTTGGCCTTCCACTTGTCCACTGCACTACCTGAGTACAAACAAGCTCTTGTAAAACAGCTGTCACGAAATCTGGGTGCCAATCTCAACAATATGAGTGTAGAAGAGCTGTTTGCACTGCTTTTTAAGGAACCTCTAAGTGCCGTAGGCGATCCAGGGAGAAACATGCTCATTGTAATAGATGGCTTGGATGAAAGTGAGTACCACGGACGAAATGATCTTCTTAATGTGATTTCACGCCAGTTTTGCCTGCTTCCTAATTGGATTCGTTTTCTTGTTACAACGCGTCCAGCCACAAACATTGCAGAGAAATTAAAACACTTAAAGCCGTTTGAATTAAAGCATGATGATCAGAAGAATTTGGAAGACATCAGAGTGTTATTTACAAAGAAACTACAGGACATGCTCAAACCTGTAGAAGAAGAAGAAGAGTCTGAGCTTCTGGAAAAACTTGTTTTGAAATCTGAGGGGCTCATGTTGTATGCTGGTTTTCTTGTTTTGTTCATTAATGAGAATGCATCAGCTCTGCACCAGAAAGACCTTGATGGTAGTTTGCCATTAGGAATTTCTTCAGTTTATGATTTCTATTTTAGTCGTCTGCAGGATGAACTTACACGTATCGAGGAACTTGACATTAAAGAAGAACATTTCCTGAATTTACTATCTGCCATTACTGCATCAAGAGAACCCTTGCCAGTTGGGTTTGTTTCTAAAGTGTTAGTCCCTGGAATTAATTCACCTCTTGCAAGACGTAAAGTGCTTAAAGCTTTAGCCAGTGTATCCGCACTTCTTCCTATTTGTGATGAACGTCTCCATGTCATCCACAAGTCGGTGAAAGACTGGCTGACTGACACATCATGTTATGGAGAACATGAATTTATCGTGGAAGAGAAGTATGGACATCAAATACTTGAAGAGCTATGTATTGACGAACTTGTCGGTTTGAAACGGAAAGGTGCTGGAAACGCGCAGTTAAGCGCCACTGAGAAGTATGCCCTGTATCACGGTGCTCGTCACATGTTACACTCTGGAGTGGACATAGAACCACTTAAAGTGGACGAACTGACAAAGGCCTACGTGATAGATTTAGAAATACTTTATGCCAAAATTTTAATGAATGGCTCAGTGGCAGCCGAAGACCTTCTTTGGCTTGAAAAGACGGGCATTTCTGCAATATTATCAGAAGAGAGCAAAAGTATCTTGGATACATTGTTGTTTCTATTGAGAAAGTTCCTGAACAGATTCACAGACGCTCCTCGTACGTTTCTCCAAACCATTCTAAACGAGGGAGGGAAAGTGTTGTCCTTTAAAGCGTCGAACCTTTTACAGAACGGGTATCCTGGAATACCATATATGGAAAATCTTCACAAGGAGCCGCAACAGGGAGGCGTTGAAGCTCGATTTGAATGTTCAGCTTGTGTGGTCTGTTTGGACGTCTCACCGAAGTTGGAGTATATGGTCTGTGAATGTTCAGACGGAATGCTTCAGCTATGGTCACTCCATACTGGTAGGCGGATGTGGACACGCCCAGTAAAAGAAAAAAGGTGTTTTAAGAGGGACTATGAACACGAAGCCTTTCGAAAGTTGCCTTCAGTAGATGTTGCTTCATTTTTTCGTTCCGTTGTTTTCCATCCTATTAAACATATTGTTTTACCTGGGATTCTCAGTCACGCGTACGGTTTGGAAGGGGAATTAAAACCACTTTTTCCCAAAAGTGGTTGTAGGTTCTCGGTTTGTTCTATTTCCGGTGACAAGAGCAAGATAGTTACGGATTGCCCTCAGAATTCTAAGTGCCTTTTCCTTTGGAGTTTAAAAGATGGTTCAGAGATTGATCGGATATCCAGAGATGAAGACATTTTATCTTTTGCTTGGTCCCGAGATGGGAGACTTCTCGCCATTTCCCATTCTTCGGGTTTGATTTGTTTGGTTGATGTGATGCATGATTTTATTGAACTGGCCCAAACAACTACCACAAAAGTATGTGGAATCCTAAAATTTTCACCTGATCATCAATCCCTTTTTTGTTGGCATTGGTACAAGTTCTTTAACCAACAAGTCTATCGTCTCGATGTAGATATGGACAGCGTCCGCAACACGTATTCTTTAAACGTTGTTGAAAATGTCTCTTATGATTACCAGAGTTTTGAATCTTTTGATGATTGCGGTTTTTTATTGGGAGATATTGTTGTCTCCAAACAGACAGGCAGTATGCTTTTTGTTCTTGGAGAAGAAAGTCTGTTGCGCTGCCTGGGTAGAGTAATCGAAATGGTGAACATTTTAAATGCAAACAAGAGAGTTCGATGCGTAGCTTCCAAGATAGCACTGAGTTTGGATGGCCGTACCGTCTATGTTTCTAGCTGTGGAACAGTGACCGCTTGGGACTTGGTAAGTGGAAATCCTCAAGCTGAAAAAAACCTCGAGATTACGTGGCCGAAAATTTTCATTCCCCTGAAAGAAGGTATCTTAATTACAACTGGGCCCAAAATTTTCGAGTTGTGGGATTACAAACTGTCTGACTGCATCAAGAGGTGGACTGGCCTCTCTGATTTTGAACAAGTAATCCCCATATCAGAAGAACTGATAGCTCTTGTGTTTGAGTTTGAAGTGAAAGTCCTGAATACAAGCAGTGGGGAATTCATTTCCTCAATCCAAGTTTCACACAGAAGAGTTATTACGTGCAGCAGTAAATTTGAGCTGTTAACGGAGATTTGTGGCTCACTTCAATTGTTCGATGGCACAACAGTTGTGTGGCAGAAGGACTGGAGTACTGATCGCGGCGTTTTCTCTCCTAAGGGCGAGTTGCTTGTCGTTCTGACGTCTCAAGGGCCGCTTGTTTTGGACTCCGTTTCAGGGAAAGGACTATGTATTTTGCCTACTTCTGCTATGGACATTCTTTGTCAGTTTGTTAGTGACGAGGAGTGTGTTTCTGTGAATCATGGTATTGAAAGTTCTACTGTTCAACTGTTTAATGTCAGGTCTGGTGACCTTCTGAGTTCAATGGAGGTGGAAAGCAGAATAACCTGTTTAGCAGCCTCTTCCAAAAATGGACTTTTCGCAATCGGCCTGCTAGACTGCAAACCAAATTTCAAAGTTATCAAAGTGCATTTGCCTCGAAGGACAGTTGGAGGAACTACAGGTGAGCTGTTGGTAAATGTGACTATCTTTAAGGCTTTTTTTCTTGTGCTTTAACCCAAAGGTGTCTGTTGTTACTCCTTGTCGTCTTTGTTTTTGTTATTATTCAAGCTTGCTTTAGCAGCCAGACTCTAAAAATGCAAGCGTTCCTTTTTTTTCTCGTGTGTGCGCACGTAAGGGAGTCATGATCCCAGGCGTTCCTAGCGTGAACCGTGGAAACTCGGGATAAGCATCGCGAGGTGACTGATAGCCTGCTGCAACGCAGGCTACTTGACTGACATCAGAAAACGTTTTTCAGAGAGCCATGCATTTTTTGTGAAGAAAGCCGTGGAAAGATTAATGCGAAAGATGTCGAGCTTTTCCGGAACGGGTGGGTCCACGAGTTCTATCACTTGAAAGCGTTGATTGCTTTGGAACAAGTGAATACTTCAATCGTCGAAAGAAGCAGGATCTTTGTGAGCAAAACTTTGATGGGGAGGTAAACCGGTGAAGTGTTGTAAACTTTCATTGTATGAGTCTTGTGATGAGCATGCCGGCGGTTTATTTTCGACGATGATTGAAATGACACACCATGTTTATCACATTTCTGGTCTTTTTCTCTTGAATCGAGCCCCTTGCATTGATTGTCATGTATTTATACACGCGTACTCAATCATTTCAGAAAGAAATCGTCGAATACGATATAAATAGTGAATATCCTGAAGAAGACTCGACCGTCGATAAAGTAGGACGTGAAAATCTTTTAGCGAGGAAACCCGGTGTCCCTAATCTCCAAGCAAGCTCGACTCAACGCTTATGAGAGCGTTCTTGTTTAAACTTCGATTATTGTTAGTGTTGCAGACTGGAAAGCTAATGATTGCTAAATTGCCCTTTGCGTAATCTTGGTAAATGCAAATGTAGCTGTGATAGCAAACCCTGATAGTAAGCGGGACAGTTCACCCAGTCTTACTGGTCCTCATCAGTTCCTAAACAGCCATTGGTCAAGCTTGTTTTTTATCCATTGAAGAGCTACTTAAAACGACTTTCATTTCATGTCTTTTAGGACGATTGGTATACCGTGGAATAGACAGCTGCGCGTAAAGAACTGGATGTAAACAAAAGGTCAGCAAGGGTTTTCTTTTCTGTCTGTTAGAAAATATCCCGTAAAACCAGCTATTTCTGTCCCGGGCGTGAACGAAATCGTAGAATTCCCCTGTGTTTTTCGAGCGAATGTATGTATATTATTCCTTTTCGTGTATGTTTCAATTTTTTTTTCATATGTCCCAATATTCCTTTATTTAAATATGCTACAGGTCAGAGAACGTTGGCAGTTATTGGAGAAACATTAGAAAAAACGCCTGTGGACAGGCTAGATTTGAATTTTTTTGTAGGGACATTTGAGTCTTAAATTAAGAGATCCTAAAACACACTTTTCACCGCAGTCAACACAATATTTATTATTTAGATTTTTAACAGCGAAGACAGAGTGATCCTAGATGAAGGTGGAACGAAGTGCGAAGGCCAGGCGAAGCAAATTCATCCTGCTCTAGTGGCCTGCCCGCCCAGTTGAATGTCGATGAACTTGAGAACGTATCTACACAGAAAATAGCTGATGCGATTTACAGCTCTCTGCAGGAGCCCTTGGAAGAGTACCGGCGGCCTCCGAGGACCACGCTCCTGAGTTTGGTGCGGTATCAGAACAAGAGTTTTACAAGAAACTTTCCCGCCTAAACCCAGCGAAAGCTAGTTGGCCCATTCCGAACTCGATACTGAAGGACCGTTCGGAATTCCTTGCCAACTCGGTAACTACAATCCTAAATGCCTCATTTAAGGAGCAGTTCTTACCGAACTCGTGGAAACTGGCTGACACGTCGCCTCTTCCTAAGACGAAATCTGTCAAGGAAATTAAAAACGATCTCAGACCGATATCGCTCACACCATGTACCTATGAGGTTGACGAGGACTTCGTCGTCACCCAGTAAGCGAAACCAGCTGACTGGTCACGCAAGAATAAGTTTAAAAGTTGGAACTATAACAAATCAGTGGCACCCAACGACGGTTTCCTCCTAAATGCATTAAAAACACTTTTATAGGCTATCCAGAGGAATTTTGGATCTCTAGAAATACATTCTAAGCGGCGCTATAAAATATGTGTCTGTTTGGTCATCCTAGGGAAACTTGAGTCTTTTCGAAATTACAAGGGCTTCAGTATTATTTTCCCGAAAATTTTAGAAGCAATTCGACGTATTACGAACGTGATGATTTTTCTGATTCCTCCATCACGTTTTCGATTCCGAAAATTTTAGGTTTCCTGTTGTGAAAGAAAAATAGCCTAACCTGGGCAGTGAAATGTGAAATTTAAACTTCAGAAAATCGTACGAGTTTATTACATAAGCATCGAAAATTGTACATGAATGGAACGATCATTTATAAATTTTTAGCTGTCCTTAAGCTATAGAAAATTATACATCTTGCTGTACGGGTTAGTGAGTAGTATCGTGGGACATTTTTACGAGTCACGCTGTATTTTGGCAAGCCCGTTAGACGAGTCAAAATACAAGAGACGAGAAAAATATTCCTCGATACTACACACTAAACCGTTCAATAAGAGATTTATTATTCAACTCGAGGAATATAAAATAGAACTCAGTATAAATGTGTACTCTTGCCTACTTATGACGAGATGGCGTGACAGACTAACGTGAGTCGAGTTTTCGTGCGCTTTCATCAACGCTGTTGCTGATTGGTCAGAAATGAAAACTTGTTAAACTAGTTTACTCAGGGTGCTTTCCGTTATGCCAAAATGTCCGGAAATTTCGGTCCAAACGTAAATGGAATGGTTCGGACAAGGTGGAAATTTTCCGGTCAAAGTGGTCCACCTCCAGAGGTGGGGGGGGGGGAGGCAATAAAGGAGGTCCCCTTCCCGTCTTTGCTCCCCCGCCGTCGTACTATGACCCCTGGGAGAGCTTCCTCGCAGGCTATGGACCGGTAGAAGAAATCTTAATGGGACAACCTCGTTCCCAGGTTTTCTACCTACACGTCTCTCTCTCACTCCGTCGGGTGGGGGAGGGGGTTAGTAGGTGGGTAGGAGAGAACCCTGGGAACGAGATTGTTCAATGGACCTTAAGCAACGACGACGACAACGTCAAAAAACAATTTAGTCCGGCAGCTTAGCTAGAAATTTTTAGTGAATTGTGCACTTTTAGATACAAGCATGAATTTTGGCACACCGATAGTAGTCACCAATACAAGCATTTTCAGGTATAGTGCCAAGCCGGTAGTAGGTCCCCATAGAAACCACAATGTATTAAATTTCATAAAAATTAGTGAATTAAATTCATTAAATTGTTGTCCTAGTTTATCAAGACATAGAATCATTTCACTCAGTCATCCAACCTGTTTACCACGTACATCTTGTTTATAACACGCCGTTTGACCTTAACTATGCGTTGCCATGGCAACGGTAAGCAAAGGAAAACTAAAAGCACGACGGCTGAATAAATTGATTATTATATGTGATACAACTAATATCTTTAAACGTAGCTTTGCTACCTAATAGATTTCACATTTTCGTTACGGAATAAACTTACGGTTCTCTACTCATTTGCCACTGTGCTTCCCGCACTGCCCATAACAATACAACACAATACAATAAGAGTTTATTGTGAAAATACACTTAGCTACAATAATGGTGTGCTATCACAGACGGAACCGAAATCGGGGTCTGTGAAAGCACGCCAGCTAATTTACAGGTATTCCACAAACACAATAAAATTAAGAGTTAAAAAACTAGATATGGAATATTCTATAATTAAAATTATAACAATAAAATCTTAATAAGTATATCTTATATCTAAATAAATACTAAATTCAATAAAAAAAGCGTCGAAATTATAAAAATTGCACTAGGTCAACTTGGCTAATGGATCTCTTAAAAGACTTAAAATTCGTTATATTTCTAAACATGTTCGGAATTGAATTCCAGAGTTTCGGACCAATATAACGGACTGAGTTCAAGCCATATGTAGTAGACTTTGGCTTGGGTAGCGAGAGGATATAGTCACCTCTTAAATTGTAGCTAACGTTCTTCCTATGAACTATCAGGTCTTGTATACTTTTGGGCGCTAAAGAATTGTGGACGGCATTAAAAATAGACAGTGTGATTTTAATTAATCTTCGTTGTTTTAAAGATGACAGGCCTAATGCGTTGAGAAGTTCCGAATAGCTTTTGTACTTATCCCTGAAAACAAACCTAATCGCGCGCTCATTTAACCTTTCCACTTTGTCTGCAGCACTTTTACTACAAAAATTCCAGGTTTCACTGCAATAATTGAAGTGAGGAAGGATAAATGCTAAATATAGGTCGCGCCTTGTTTCGAAGGGAAGCATTTTCTTCATTCTTTTAAGAACAGCTATTTGCTGTGAAACTTTCCTACATATTTTAGCAACATGATTGTCAAACTTCAGTTTGTTATCTATCGTTATGCCAAGCATCTCAAATTCTTTAGTCACTGGGATACTGGAATTTTCACACTTGAAATCAAGTGTGGCGTCAGATTTTCCCATCACAATAGCTTGATACTTAGAATTGTTCCTTTTCAGACCGTTCTCATCATACCATTTATCAACAAGCTCGAGATCAGAGTTTATAGCACTCTCAACTTCTCTATAGTCATTATGAGCAAAGAAAATTTGCGTGTCGTCTGCGTAGCTAGAGAGTTTACATCTTTTCACGACGAACAGGAGATCATTGATGAAAATATTAAATATCAAAGGCCCGAGGATTGATCCTTGGGCAATCCCTCTGGAAATATAATTCCAGCTCGAATATTCTCCAGCTACTTTCACTCGTTGTTGGCGATCAGAGAAATAATCCTCAATGATATTAGCAGTTCTCTCGTCAGCACCATATTCTTTGAACTTCTTCACAATGAGATCGTGTGGTAGAGAGTCGAAGGCCTTCGACAAGTCCATAGACACAAGGCCAATTATTTTCCGATCGTCCAGATGGCCGCCGGGAAACAGAGCTTCTACAGAAACATGATTAAAATGACGTTGATCGAAAGAAAACGTTATTGAAATTTTCCTTAACAGTTTTTTTTCTAGCTCAGATGAGTCTCAAATTGTTGGAAATGTGCCTTACGTAAGCGGTATGGGTGTTGCTGAGTTAAACTTCCTCACCAAGGCCTTCGATAGTGGATGTTGTGCTGAACCATTTTCATGACTTTTGAGCTTCATCTTTATCACATTATGTACTAATTGCTGTATCTCGATGTAAATTCCATAAAATCGAATTTTTCAATGCTTTCTTCAACCTTCCACGTAAATGCCGCTTTGAAACTCACCCCAATCCTCCCTCAAAATTCGCAAGAAATGCAGGTGGTGCGCACTATCTGCAGCTCTACCAGTGACCCTTATTTTTCTTCATTATTTTAATAATAACAGTTCTTCCTTTTAATGGCAATTCTATGACCAGCGGAGAAGGAAGCAGCATCACACACTGTTAAGGCATGGAACACAAGGAGAAATGTCGAGTTAGATGGACCAAAGGCTTTTGGAAAGAGTGTGGGTAGGATATTCCCTGTCCCATGACTGTAGCGGCAAATTTTGAAGACTTGAAATAATCAAAAAAACACTGCTTTTGGTCGGAATCAAAAATTTTTTGGTCGGAATGAAAAAATTTTTTACCGGGAAACGTTATTGCCTTATGTGAGATTCGGATGAGAAAATAAAAAATTCGTTAAGAAAAAAATTCGTCAAGAAAAATAACTTCGCGGGGGGTCTCGGGTGTGAAATTTGATTCGCTGCTAACTAGAAAACTCCCTACCATTTGATATACTTGAAGCCTGAAAAAGGTACCCCTTTCGGGCGGAGCCTCCCCCTATAGGCCATTTTGACTGTAGTGACAAATAAAAAATCTTTTTAATAGGTTTACAGATTCATCTGGCTTTGAACATGTATTTGTGGGGGAGTCACAGAAAAAAAAGGCTAATGTGGCTGGCTTCCATAACTGGATTCAATTCTACCTGCAAGAGAAAAAAGGCTTGCTCGACTATAAAGGCTTCTATCCAAGTCGGAGAGTAAGTATTTAAATGTCACTACAAAACTGTACCATTCTCTGTTCACGTCATGATAGCTAATCTCTCATTGTAGTATATTCAAGGATAAGGACATTAAAAAAAAGTCGTACCCCTATGTGCGACCACCTCTCGTAAGCGACGACTTATCCAAAACACCAACATTTTCCGAGTCAAAGCCTTACAATACATCACTTAGGTGTCATTTACGGATATATTCATGTTCAATTCGATAATTCATATATTTTTAGTTAGCTTTAATAGTTTGTAATGCGCATTTGATCATTTATATGTTAATTTGCGCAATACCAAATAATAAATATTATTATTATTATTATTATTATTATTATTGTTACAGATGAGACTCTCGTAAACGACCACCATTTGTAAGCGTATGAGAAGAAATTTTAGAAACAACATAGATTTACATATACATATATTGTAACAGCTACAACGTGCATGCAATACGTTCTGTCCAAAAACTCGAGGTCGGTTCGGGCTTCTCCCCGCAGAAGACTCCATGCAGTTCCACTCTCGTAAGTGACCACCTCCCATAAGCGACCACTGCTTATTTTGGGTCGTCGCTTACGGGACGTTCGACTATACAGAAAATATGAACTTTGTGTAAATGACGACTTTTAAATGTTGATGTAAAATGTTTTTGTAAACTTGAAGCTCTCTTCCCTCAGTAAGTATAGTCTGTCTAGTATTTAAGTGAATCAAACTGTATCTATAGTCTCTTTAATTCCAGATTGATGGTACTTTTCATGGTGATGCCTAAAATTTGTCCCAAAAATGTTCAGAAAACTTTAATTCTTAGCCAAATGTTAATTTTTTCATACTCTTTCCGGACAATTTCTCATTACATGGTCATTTTGGTGAATAGCTAATACTGCATTTTATTTCATGCCTAAACTTAATAGCATTAGGTAAGACATGAAATCATAGCTGTGGAAATCTGTCAGGGGCACCCAAAGACGGTTTCCTCCTTAATACGTTGAAAACACTTTGAGGCTTTCCAGAGTACTTTAAGATTTCCAGAGATGCATTCTTAGCGGCGCTAAAGCATTTGTATCTGTTCTGTCATCCTGGGGGAACTTGAGTCTTTTGGAAATTGCAAGGGCTTCAGTATTATTTTCCCGAAAATTTTAGATGCAATTTAACATATTACGAAAGCGAGAAGTTTTCTGATTCCTTTCTCCATCACATTTTTGAATCCAAAAATTTTAGGATTCGTTTTTTGTCCGAAAAATATCCTAATCCGGGCAGTGAAATGTGAAAAATTAAAGGTTCAGAAAATCATAGGGAATTTATTATGTAGATAAGCTTCGAAATTGTAACTGAATGGAATGGTCATCTAGAAATTATTAGCCGTCCGCAAGAAATAGAAATTAAAAATTATTCTTGGCAATATTCGCTTCTCCGAACAGATGTTTTACGGAAAACAGTCGTTGGGTGCCCCTGATCTGTTACTTGTAGTGGTTTTTGCAATAATATTAAAAACAGTAATAATACAACTCAATTGTCTTGTGTTTTTCTGGCAGGAAAAGCACATAACTAGTGAAGATTGGAGCATGAATAAGCCGCTTACTGTGCGGTTCAATTGGAAAGGTGATTTAAAACGGATTGGCGGCAGCTTCATTGGTACTAGCCCTGAATTTGAAATGGCGCTGTGTACAGTTTGTTTCCTGGCTCGGGAAGGAGATGGGCGTATCGACCGTATTGAGCTTGATGACTACGATGTTATTGTCAAAGCTCATCGCTTTGGAGCAAACTTACTGAGTACCTGCTATCCGATTAATAAGTGAAACAAGTCAGCAAATGAACGAACTCCTCCTCCTAGCGGGAGCAGCGAACACGATCAGGCTACATTGGACTGGCTAGCTTGCGAGCAAGTCGCTCTGGCGGCGGCACGAAAAGCGAGGCTCCCTTGCCGACTTTCCTCCCCCACCCCTGTACTCCAGGGAGAACTTGCTCGCAGGCTGTGGACCGGCAGAAATCTCAATAGGGTACCTTGATGTTCTTAGCAGACTGACTCGATCTTATGACTGTTAAATGCAACTACTATATAACAGGAAAATTAAGGTATCTTAAACGAAGGCGAATTGAATTAAAGAAACGCAAAGGAGGGAGTAAAATTTCAAAATAAAGAAACTTAACGCGACGTACGTGAGTTAGAAACAAATGAGGCAATAGGAACAACTGTATCTTAATGCTGAGAACAAGAATCGAAATGCAGAGTTCTAAAGTGATGACGTCATAAGAAATTATGGGATTTGTTGAGATGTTTTGAAAGAAGAACACCTGAAAGGCCTACTTTAAACTATAGCCAGCTAAAACCCCAATAATCTGCTCATGTGTTAATAAATCAATTCGATGCTTGGTGACGTAAATTTGTTAAATAAATAAGTTTAAGTACAAACTTGCGACTTTTAGCGTGTAGGTCTTGCAGAATGTTCGCGTTTCATATTTTTCTCCATTTTGAAAATTTTAATTTCCTTTGATAGCAGCGATTTCCCTCAGCGATGAAAGCTTTGTGTTTGTATGCTTTTAAGCAACACTTTCTTGCACCTTCATATAAGCTTATGTTTAAAATTAGACTAGCCGACAAATAGCAAGAAGGTAATCCTGGCAAACCAGTATGTACATAAATAAATTTATTATAGAAATACACACACACACACTTGTATATATTATATAAATAGTTACACATATATACGTATTATAGTAGTTATTTCCTAAATATTTATAAAAGAAAAAGAAGAGATGAAGCTACTGAAACAAAAGAACAATTATGTATCTGCAGTGAAAAGATGATGGACTGACAGACACGATGTAATTCTCTGTCGAGAAATTTTGATACACAATCCCTTTCAGTACAAGAAGAGCTCAATTCAAAGAGGACAGGTTTGGAATGACATCGCTGAACGACTTGTTGCAGTTGATGAAGTAAGATTCAAGTCAGATTTAGACAGAAGGGGTGCTCATGATCGATACAACCTGTTAGCAAATAAGCTGAGAAGAAAGCTAAAAGATGAAAGGAAAGCTTCTGGAATTGAAACTGATATGTCAGAGGTGGAAGTTGCTCTGGAAGATTTGATCGAGAGGGAAGATGAATCGGATAAACAGCACAAGGAAAATCAAGATCAAAAACTAAAGAGGAAAGAAGATCGACAACAGGCTGAAGATATTCACACAAAGTCATTGGAGAGACTGGGGGAAACTCAGAAACGAAAAGGGCAAGACAGCAACCTTCAGACCAAAGCTAAGAAGAAGAGGGCAACTGGAGGAGATGCAGTAGTGTTCTTAAGAGAAAGAACTGAGGCGATGGTTGCTGCTCGTAAGGAGGAGGTCAATATGAAAGTAAAACAACAAGAGGCTGAGAGCAAACGACACCAGGATTTTCTGGAATTGATGAGGCAACAACAACAGCAACAGCAGCAGCAAATGCATAACATGCAAGCTATGCTTCTCCAACAACAGCAGCAGCAAACTCAGTTGATTATGGCTCTCGTGTCTAAGTAAGACCATAAATAAGCCTTCACGCAATGTATTGTGTGGATTTGTTGTTTAAGAGCTGTTTATCTGTCATTTCTGAGATGATTGTTTAATGTCAAGTGTGTCACACTGGCAGATGTATACCTTGCGATGGGGGAGGGGGGGTCTCAAGAAAAGGTTTTTTTTGCCCCTTTGGGCCTCAGTTTGGTCTAAAAATAAGGGGGGAGGCTGGTTCCCCCCAGGGCCCCTCCCCTGGATCCACCACTGTGTCAGAATAATTCACCTGAAATTGTGAAAATTATTCATCTGAGATTGTGTTTAATGTATTTGAGGCTTGGTGTCTCTTGTTCAAGTTATGTTGATTTCTCTTCTTGTATTGATCTTGAAAACTTCGCAGTGTTGACTGTACAGATCATATACGTCGTGACATGCTAGACAACAAGTCTTTGTGAAATGTCCCTGCAATCAACCACTCTGTGATACAATAGGGGGAAAGGACACGGCAACATTTTGCTTCATATGACTTGTTGCCTAGTGTGTCCTGACCTTATAATTAGGCACTGGGAGCAATTTGGAGCTTTGAACTAATTTAACATTAAATATGTACATGCCAGACCATTTGCTTGGGTAATTTTACAGTTGACAATATTAGTTTGTTGTATTGATGAAAAATAAAAGCCAACTTTATAATCCATTTTTGATTGCATATGCCCTAATACGAGCAGAAACCCTTGGGACCTGTAGAAAGGGTCCACTTGATAGAGGTATCCATGTAAGGAAGGTTGAAAATGCACCCCTTTCATGGCTTGCACAAAGGGTAAGTATCCCCTTAAGGGAGGTGTAAATTGACAGATGTTTGACTTTTTGTTTATGGTACTAATGATGAGAATTTGATTGACTATTTGATATCTTTCTTGATTGACTCTATTATTCTCATGGCCTATTTTTTATTAAACAGTGATGTTACGAGAATCTCATAACGTCACTGTTTAATAAAAGTATAGGCCATGGGAATAATAGAGCCAATCAAGAAAGATATCATATAGTCAATCAAATTCTCATCATTAGTACCATAACAAAACAGGGATGAAACCATGTCACTAGGCTTAAAGCTTTGAGGGGAGGGGGGAGGGATGTGGCAACTGTGAAAGCTACATGTAAGGCAACGATGTTAGCAGTGGTTTTCAGAGGCTTTTTTCCCAATGGCCAAGGTAATACCCAAGCAAACATAGTAAACACCTGGATATGGTCAAGGTTTATTTAAGATAGAAATGTAATACAAACAATGCATGTTACATGATAATTATCAGACATTTCAAAGGTCTTCTTCATATTTATTTTCTACACAATCCAGTCACTGAAAATTTCTTGGACATATTAACACTTGTGCATTGCTGATGTTAATATAATGCAAGCTACACAAAATAGTCCTGAAGTGTTGGTGGATCCACAGAAAAGAAATCAGAAGTCTGATTGTGATAAAGGCAGGTGTGAGCATTTCTTATGATAGCACCAACAAGGTACATTTTTCCTACTGAGGATAGGCCAACTTTAAAATTATTTTTGAAATCAAGAAACTTCAAATAATTAATAATATCTCCGAAGAGCCATTCAACAGATATACGTAGAGCGCTCATGGCGGCATTAAACTCCTGCATTTGAGGTGTTAGTACTGCATTTCTAAAAGGGCACTGCAGATGTACCCTTAATAGGTAAGCCGGGTCACCATACAGACAAAGAGGCTGGCCAGTTAAGGAGAATGCATTCCTTTGTAGGTCTGCAAGTAGACCAGAGTCTGCTAACATCCCCGCGTCATGCTTTCTGCCTTCTGCAGTAGAAACAACAGAAAGGAAAAAAGTAAAGAGATGGGTGCTTTTTTTTCAAATTAGTCAATCATATTGCAGTGCAAGTACTAAACAATTTCAAACTTGACTTTCTCTGATCTCCAGCCTTAAGAATTGCTCTCCTCGTAACACCGTACATCTGAACCTATGCACTATTTTGTTGTTTATTAACTGTTTCCAATTTATCATTTAACTTACCTACTGGGCCATACATATGGGCTATCATTCCCGATGGTAAGACAACTGATTGAAATTTTAGGGCGTGCACCCTCTTGTGGCCATTGTAGAGCACTCTCTGCTGCTCACCAGGGCGGCATACTGGTCTGACCGTGCCGTGTTATGAACCCGAAGCAGTTGTCGAGAGGAGAACCATTCCTAGAAATTGCATCACAATACATCTGAAGAGAGGCAGGGTCCAACAGCTGGGGATTCCATGAAGTGAGGCGACGTACGTGCTAATCGTAAATAACATAGGCACGTTAAACGTGCATGAGCTATTTTGAATGCTTCAGTGTAACTATAATACTTCGGTGTAACCTTACCAAGAGTGATGAATCTACCTTTTTCATCCTAAATGTAGATTTGGTTTTTGTGCGAAATTGGGTTTTGCGCTACATAAATAAAAACGGGAAACGCTCAGCTGAGTCGATCTTCAACCTATATATTCACTTTCCTCTGTCTTTCCCTGTTACATCTGGTGCAAGTTAAACAAATTGTTAAAGAAAAATAAATTTCTACTCACCAAACGTTGATTAGAAGGAAAACTCTATGGTTTCCTCCGAGTTTCTTAAGCCAAAATGTGACTCATCGAATAGTGGTAGATGGTTGCATCATCATTATTCACGAGGTTTTCACGTGCGATTCTACTCAGTGAAACAGTCTTTAACTCCGACAACTTATTTCTTCATGTTTTAAAAGCTATTGCTTCTTAAAAGACAGGAGCCTTTTTTAAGGCATTGGTTACAAAACGAAACAGGTCTTCATACGTCCAAGTTACTATTTATTTGGGCGTGGTCCAAATAGAGTAATGGAAACGGCTTGTTTTGACGCAAATGTGCAATAGGCACGCAATACGTGCTAACGTAAACAAGGCAAGTAAACAAGCGAAGCGAGGCGAGTGTCTGCCAAGCGAACGTCTTGCACAAGGTAAGAGGCATGTCGGAAAGAAAGCTCTGCTAGCACACTGCACTTTCACGATCTCAAAAGTTTATCTGAATCTTCAGTATTTCTGCCTCATTGAAATTTGGAAGTCTGAAGCCCCCCGCCCGCCAGGCCAGAGCCCCGATTATAAGTACTAGGCGACTTTGAAAGACGCGTGCTTCACATATTTGTGGTGGATTAGAATGCCGGGTTTGTCAGAGGCCCTTTGTTTAAAACATGGCGGGATACTCGCAGCTTAAGGCAAGCATGTGCCTTGTAGCTGTCAACATAATGCTTTTTAATTACATTCTGTCATAATTAACAAAACCCGATCCATGTTTGATTGAAAGTAATTGTACAAATCTGATACCAGACAAACCGCTTTTAAAAAACAAAAAACAAAACTAGTTTATGGTTATTTCTCATTAATTTCACTTATCAAAACAATTATTTACTTTTATCAGTTTTCCCGTTTCTTTCAAAACATCCTTCATTTCCGGGCGTTTCACTGTAGTCAATGAAAGACACGTTTTATCGGTCTTCTTTTACGCGGGAATATCAAAACTTCCATCTTTCAAAGCGCGATGAACCAAAGCTCGCAGGGTACCAAAGCACCAAAGGCGCACGATGCAGTCCTGGTGTTTTGTGAGCACCCGTTAAGAATATTGAACGCCAAAACTATCAAGTTTTGGTACAGCGAGAGGCAGCTACTTTCTGTACCCAAAGGTTAGTGCATGGACAGGCTATCGAAAGAAAATAAAAGGGATGGTTGCCCAATGGATAGCAGGCCGAACTACGCAAATAAATGTCTCATTGAATCCTTGTCTGCGAGGCTAGTACTAAATTTACACTCTAGAATACATTACACAACTCAATCAGCAACACTTTGCAAGTAGAATTGGCGATCAGTGTGGGCAATTTATATTTCTAAGGGGCGTCCGTCGCACAAAGGCTTAACGCGCGGGGGTTTTAGTCAATGGCTGACATAAGAGTTTTCTCACAATCGACCCAGTTAGAGTGCGATAATGTGCGCGTGAACTTTGCCTACAACTGCCAATAAGCTGAATAAACCGGAAGCTGAACACCATGAATAAGTTACTAAATTACATCGATCAGGTTTTTTTACTTTTTTTTTTCAAGTATCGGAGGGGTTTTTCGCGCATTCTGTTGCGCAGTTTGGCAGTGATATACCGAGCATCAGACAGGTAACGCGCCGAAGCCACCATTTTACTCTTCTTCTACCAAACAGTTTTCCTGCAATGGTCTTAGTACTGGTCCCGTTGCCGAAACCTTGCACGAGCAAGATACGGTAATCGAGAGTCGAGAATCGAGAATCGACATTGTACTCGGGACCAAGAAACAACTGATGCAATGCAAGAGCTTCAAGCTGCTGAGAATCGCCAATTCTGGATTACAAGCAGTGAAGGAACTCCTGAGAAGCGTCCAAATTATAAAGGAACTTTGGAGGCCAGTCAGCCACGGTGATTGTCGCACCACGCATAAAGTAGAATAAATTTGTTAGCCTGGTCTTGTCTTTGCCACAAATCACGTAAAACTATAAAGAAGGTACCACTATGAACTCTGGAAAATGAAAATTCAATAATACTATGGTTGACGACTGACAGTTTAAAAGAGAGACAACCTTCACCTCAGAATCTTGGGCGCGCCGCCTGTAAGCTCTGAGGGAGAGGGAAGCCCCATAATTTGGCCTATTTGAAAAACAAATGACACTACAAAAATAAACTACAATTATAATTTCAAAAGGGAGACTACCATCACCTCAGAATCTTGGGCGCGCCGCCTGTAAGCTCTGAGGGAGAGGGTAGCCCCATAATTTGGCCTATATCAGAAACAAATGACAATACAAAAATAATCTACAATAATAATTTGGATAAATGACCGACATTTCAAAAGAGAGACTACCATCACCTCAGAATCTTGGGCGCGCCGCCTGTAAGCTCTGAGGGAGAGGGTAGCCCCATAATTTGGCCTATTTCAGAAACAAATGACAATACAAAAATAATCTACAATAATAATTTGGAT